CCAGAACTGTCCTATCATTAACCGTCATATAGAACGCCTTAACTAAGTGAATCCACCAGTCAATGCTAAAAATCACTTAAGGAATCATCTAAAAATTATGATCCTTTACTTCCCATGATGGCTACATGGTTTATGGAGACACGAGTTATTTGAACTCAAACTCGTCCCCATATCGGTGCTCAATACTACTCCCAAAATGCTCAGCTGATATGTTTAAAAACATAACTTTTTCTGTGGTTTGAGATAATTAATCAAAACTCTATCTCTTAAAAGAGATGGTACTCAAACTACTCAAAACTCTTTTGGAAATCTCAATTTCCTCTCATCTTAAATGTGAAAACATTTACTTTTGGGAATACTTAGTTCCCATATAATCTTTGAAGAAATGAAATTTACTCTTAATCTTTACTCAACTCAAAACTTAAGGCTTAAAACAAAGTTAAAACATTTGTAAAAGACTTCTTAAAATATGGTTCATGCCGAATTATGGACGTAAACGACTCAGTGCAAGGTTTTCAATAACCATAGATAGAACTCAGTACTTGGAACTCAAGAACTTCAATGATACTACTCATTTCAAGAATGCTCAACTCAGAGGGTTCATGTGGAATTATGAGCATGAACTACTCAACTCAAGGACTCAAAGATACTTCTCATCTCAAGACTGTTTGACTTATAGGGTTCATGCAGAATTATGGGCATGAACAATTCAACTCAAGGAATTCATGGGTAATATGTAATTGTCCCATGATTAGAAATATAATCTCAAAGGGGATTAGGAACTCAATACTCAAGACTTAGAAATTGAAAATACTACTCCTCTCAATGATGCTCAATTTATGGAGTTCATGCGGAATTATGGAGATGAACGACTCGACTCAAAGGTCTACATAACTACATGGAACTCATGTATACGAATCTTATCATTCTCTTACTTACTTCCTTAAAACTTAGTTCAAATCAATAGTTGATCTCAAAGGGTTCACAATCGAACTCAAAGGCTTTCTTGAAGTCTACTCTTAACTTTCTCTTGAATGTGAAATATGAATTCAAGAGTTATGGTTCATGATATGAAGGATATAGATGATAGTGTAGAGTCATGAATACATTCTCCTCACTCTCATGCTCACTTACATGAGTTTTGAAACAAGTTATTAGAAATTGAAGAAGACTACTCAAAAGGACTCAAAGGGACTCTTTCAAAATGATAAAAAAAACTCTCAAGACTTAACTCTTAACTTTACCTTGAATATGAATTATTAATTTAAGGTTATAATTCATATTATGAATGATTTCTAAGTGTTTAAAAGTAGTTTAGAGTGATTAGAATCAAAGGGAGTGAAGGTACACTTAAAAGGGGCTCAAACGGGACAACCGACTAAAAAGAAGTGGAGGAAGGCGACCCTGGCACGTTCCGGGCGCGAGGCGCCATCCCCTAACTTCAGAGGCTGCATATGGGCACACTGTAGGGGGCCGCCCCAACCCCTTGGGCGCATCTGTGGTGCGCTGCCCCAACCTCTCCCCAGGCCAGGTTCGACGAATTTCGCCTCTAGTTTTCTGATCCTAAATCGCTTTTAATCGATTTATTTTCTCAAGTTTTCCTTAGATTCAATTACCCAACCTAAGTACACACTAATCCACTCAAAACAATCACTTTCATTTCAAGAAATCATCAAAACCCCAACAAAACAAGATTTAGAATGAACTTCAAGAACACCTATCAAGAACTTAAATCCTTCAAATTTTGAGAGTGAAAATGCGCTGAAAGTAACATGTTTGGCGTGTGAGTGAACAAACCCAACATTATTGTAACTTACATACCTCTTAGGGATCAAACCCGTGTCGAGAATCCGCAATAACACGCAAGAATCTCGACGAACACTTGATCCTCTCCTCTTTTCTCTTCTTTTCTCTTCTTGAACTCTCAACTAAAACCCTAGGCGTATTTTAGTATTATAAAACTGAACCTAATCAGATTAGACCCCGAAATATTACTAAAAATGAATTAAATTTGATTGGGTAAGGAAAAGACCAAAATACCCCTCTAAAATCCCGTTTTGACTTTCCTTATCTAGACAACCCAACTTCTAATGGCCATATCTCCCTCATACGAACTGGAAACTGAGTAAACTCGGTGGAGTTGGAAAGATAATTCAAACATCTTTCCTAAGATATCTGGTAGCACACCTAAATCATCATGAGCTAGGAGTTATGGACATTTGAAATCGACCCAAAACTCATAATTAGCTTAACATACAAAGCTTCAGATTTTGCTATTTCCAATTTAGTTATTTTTGGAACTCAAGGTGTTACATCTAGTGACCTTATCACTTAAATAAATTTTTATTCCTTGGTCAAATCTCACTCACTATGAAGAACGGTTCGAGTCTTAGTTCAAAAAATTTTCTGGGTATTACAATATCTCCCCATTGGGATCATTCGTCCTCAAATGACGACTAGACTGGGTATGGAACGGGGTTACTCTTGCTAAGGTCTGAGTATAATGGTATGCTCTTACTATATTCAAGCTTAACCCAAATCCTTAGGTTCGGGTTTTATACCTCTCTATAAGGAATCTCATCCCAAAACTATTACTTTTTACCACCATATTCAAGCTTAGTACTTTAACAACTCCATGAACTCCTACTAGCCAACTCCTTCGGATCCAACTAAGGACTCTCATTTAACTATTTCTCATAGTAAAACCTAATCCTCTTCTTCCTCCTTATTAATAACCTTAGATGGAATTATCACACCATCACTAACACGATAAGAACATCAACTTCCTCTTTTTAACGTCACTCCATTACAAAAAAGGACCTCTAAAAAGATATCCCCCAAACTCTTTGGAATTCATTACCATCTTAATCTCAAACACTTGACTCTATTTCTCATCTTGTCATCTCCCCCTTAGGTCTAAAGCTAGCACTTGAAAGCTATGGACCTATTCCATCATCTCTAAATGGTCTACCTCTTCTTTTAGTCTAACACTCGGGAGAAGTTTATCTCATGCCTACCAAACTCTCTATAAGCGGTACTACGACCTCTTTCTAAGGTGTTTCCCTTAACCTCTTCTGGTTACATACCCTCTCGGTGCACCTCTTAACGCTCTTGTTACTCTTGTGACTTAGCCACACTTCACTGCCCTTATCTAAAGGTTATGGTCTCTCACTTGTACCACTCATATCTATTCCAGCTAACATCTCAATTCCTCAAGTCCTCTAGATCAAATCTCAAAACTAACATCATCACCCTCATGTTGCCATTCTTTTGATCATGATACTCATCTCAAATTCAAGATTAATGTTTACTACTAAACCCGAATATCAATACGATTGCTCACCTACTATGCTATACTTCATTACTTGATCAGTTCTATAACCTTCTAAATATCATGACCCTCTCAAACAAATCATAAGCCTAGCTTAGATCTATGACTTCATAAATACCCTACTTTCTTATTCAACACATGAATTTAGTCTCCTCTAATACGATGGCACATTGACACTAACTCTATTCTGGTTAACAAATATATAGTCTATCTCATCTTGACTAGAAACTCTTACTCTACCCATAAGGGAAAACTCCTCATCAATAACTTACTTGGTGCATGACTATAATAACATAGCTTGCCTCATCACTATCTCTCTTTCTAAGATTACTAAACCTCTGGTGCTTTCCTCTAACTCTGGGCTCTTTCACTACTACTGCTCATGATCTCGTAACTCAAGCTACCTCTTCGGGTGAAAATACTACCCAAGCTCTAAACATGCTTCCTCATAAGGATCTTAGCTTAATAAGGGCTTAGGCAAAAGAGTACAACTTGCTTTTTGCTCAAATGCACGACTCATATAATTATGGGTGCATTCTTCTGAAACTGAACACTTAACTTACTCTTGGGCTTCTCTCAATCCCCTATGGAGTCTTATGACTTTCTCAAGACTCTTGCTAAAAACAACTTATCCATAATGATCTTTACACTTTACTTTTCAACCACCTCAAGTATGATGGGTAGTCAAATGAATCTGAGAAACACACGAGTATGAATAAATCTCTATGACTTATCTCTTTTGCACAATTAAGAGTATGGAAGATGGGAAACTTCTCTTAAATGTCTGTAGTCCCTCGTTTATAGAAGTTGGCCCCTCACAACCATAAAGAAGACCTACTTGACACGACTTCATAGACACCCTAGGACACTTGAACTCTGTGCTCTGGTACCAAGTTTGTAACGACCCGAGCCTACACCCTGGACATGTCTGACACTCGAGAATCATTACTGGTCCCCAAGCGAACCCTCATCCTGGCTTACTACAAGCGGAAGACTCACTCAAGCATACAAAGCTTAAAAAATGAATAAAATTCATGAAACTTACAAATCTTTAACTTAAATGAGTAACTATGAATAAAAATAGAATATTCAACTAGCCAACAATAGGCAACTCAAGTCTTTAATATATTTTTAAAAAATGAAACAGACTTCTCAAACTTTACTTTCTATCTATGAAGCTTCTAAATAACAAAGATGGAAGTCAGCACAAAACCCACGACATCCTGATAAAACTAAAAAGTAAATTAAATCTTTCGGAAGCAAGGAGGCTCACCATAGCTAACTCGAACTCCTTGTGGTATCAACGAAACTCCTGTTGATGATCCTGAATACCTGAATCTGCATCATGAAAGGATGCAGGCCAAATGGCTTAGTACGTGGAATGTACGAGCATGTAAGGGGAATTCTAAAGCATAACATAAGCTTGAAACTTGATAAAAAGGAAACATACTTACGTCTTTTCAACTTATTCAACTTAAGGAATACTTAAAGATACTCAAAACTACTCAAACTTACTCAACTCGGAAATACTCAAGGATAAGATACTCAATCTCAGCAATAAGGTTCTCAACTCAGTAAAACTCAACGATAAGGTACTCGACATAATGAAGCACATATTTAATAAAGATACTCAACTCGAAAGACTTAACTCATGATACTCAAGGAAAAAGTAATAGTAAAAGATGCAATATATATGGAAAGCTGTAAAACTGTAGATAACAACTCAATGTATTGAAAAATACAATAAATCTCAATGTGTATATAAAAATACAATATAACTCTATGGGAGTTTCTCTAACCGACAACCACCATATGAGCCTAAGTGATGATACATTGTCTTCCCACGTTGCCAGAACTGTCCTATACTTTGCCGTCATATAGAACGCCTTAACTATGTGGATCCACTAGTCTATGCTAAAATGCACTTAAGGAATCATCTAAAAATTATGGTCCTTTACTACCCATGATGGCTACATGGTTTATGGAGACGTGAGTTATCTGAACTCAAACTCGTCCCCAAATTGGTGCTTAATACTACTCCCAAAATACTCAGCTCATATGTTTAAAAACATAAATTTTTCTGTGGTTTGAGATAATTACTCAAAAATCTATCTCTTAAATGAGATGGTACTCAAACTGCTCAAAAATCTTATGGAAATCTCAGTTTCCTCTCATCTTAAATGTGAAAACATTATTCTTGGGAATACTTAGTTCCCAAATAATCTTTGAAGAAATAAACTTTACTCTTACTCGTTACTCAACTCAAATCTAAAGTCTTAAAACAAAGTTAAATCATTTGTAAAAGACTTCTTAAAATATGGTTCATGCCGAATTATGAACATGATGGAAATGAATGACTCAATGCAAGGTTTTCAATAACCATAGATAGAACTCAATACTTGGAACTCAAGAACTTCAATGATACTACTCATTTCAAGAATGCTCAACTTAGAGGGTTCATGCCGAATTATGAAAATGAACTACTCAACTCAAGGACTCAAAAATACTTCTCATCTCAAGACTGTTTGACTTATAGGGTTCATGCAGAATTATGGGCATGAACAATTCATCTCAAGGACTTCATGGGTAACATGTAATAGTCCCATGATTAGAAATATAATCTCAAAGGGGATTAGGAGCTCAATACTCAAGACTTAGAACTTGAAAATACTACTCCTCTCAATGATGCTCAATTTATGGAGTTCATGCGGAATTATGGGGATGAACGACTCGACTCAAAGGTCTTCATAACTACATGGAATTCATGTATACGACTCTTCTCATTCTCTTACTTACTTCCTCAAAACTTAGTTCAAATCAATAGTTGATCTCAAAGGGTTCACAATCGAACTCAAAGGATTTCTTGAAGTCTACTCTTAACTCTCTCTTGAATGTGAATTATGAATTTAAGAGTTATGGTTCATGATATAAGGATATAGATGATAGTATAGACTCATGAATACATTCTCCTCACTCTCATTCTCACTTACTTGAGTCTTGAAATAAGTTATTAGAAATTGAAGAAGACTCTTCAAAAGGACTTAAAGGGACTCTCTCAAAATGATCAGAAAAACTCTCAAGACTTAACTCTTAACTTTACCTTGAATTCAAATTATTAATTCAAGGTTATGATTCATGTTATGAATGATTTATAAGTGTTTAGAAGTTGTTTAGAGTGATTAGAATCAAAGGGAGTGAAGGTACACTTAAAAGGGGCTCAAACGGGACAACCGACGAAAAAAGAGCGGGGCGGGCAACCCTGGCGTGGGGAGCCAACCTCTAACTTCAGAGGCTAAATATGTGTGCACTGCAGGGGCGTCTCCCCATCCCCTTGGGCACATCACGCTGCCCCAGCCTCTCCCCAGGCCAAGTTCGACGAATTCCGCCTCTCGTTTTCTGATCCTAAATCGCTTTTAATCGATTTATTTTCTCAAGTTTTCCTTAGATTCAATTACCCAACCTAAGTACACTCTAATCCACTCAAAACAATCATTTTCATCTCAAGAAATCATCAAAACCCCAACAAGACAAGATTTAGAATGAACTTCAAGAACACCTATCAAGAACTTAAATCCTTTAACTTTTGAGAGTGAAATTGCACTGAAAGTAACATGTTTGGCGTGTGGTTTAACAAATCCAACATTATGGAAGCTTACATACCTCTTAGGGATGAAACCCATGGCGAGAATCCGCAACAACACGCAAGAATCTCGACGAACGCTTGATCCTCTCCTCTTTTCTCTTCTTTTCTCTTCTTTTCTCTTCTTGAACTCTCAACTAAAACCCTAGGCGTATTTTAGGATTATAAAACTGAACCTAATCATATTAGACCCCTAAATTATTACTAAAAATGAATTAAATCTGATTGGGTATGAGAAAGACTAAAATACCCCTTTAAAATCCGGTTTTGACTTTCTTTATCTAGACAGCTCAACTTCTAATGGCCATATCTCCCTCATACGAACTTGAAACCTAGTAAACTCGGTGGCGTTGGAAAGATAATTCGAACATATTTCCTAAGGTATCTGATAGCACACCTAAATCATCCTGAGCTAGGAGTTATGGTTGTTTGAAGTCGACCCAAAACTCATACTTAGCTTAACTTGCAAAATTTCAGATTTTGCTATTTCCAATTTAGTTATTTTTGGAACTCAAGGTGCTACATCTAGTGACCTTAACACTTAAAGAAATTTTTAATTCCTTGGTAAAATCTCACTCATTACGAAGAACGGTTCGAGTCTTAGTTCGAAAATTTTTGTGGCGTGTTACAAATTTCATTTTCAATAACTGTATCTATTACTTAGTGAACTCCTCCATTAATGACTAGTCTAAAGTTAGATTCTTGTAACTTTCAATTTTGATTTTGATTTTGAGCTACCAACAAATTGTCGAAGTGATGAAAAGTATGTGATTTGGTGGTGGGAATTGACTTAGTGATGAAAACCTGATGAGGGCGGTGACCTGGTGGTTGAGGTGAGCCACCGCTGATGTCTAGTATGGATCTAATGATGAAGATTGAAGGGATGAGATAAAGAAGGTAAAAATAAATAAAAGGAAACATATTTAAAAAAAAAAAGAATATTAATATAAAATAAATTAAATATTTATAAAGTTAATATTTTAATTATCTTTTTATCTCTCACTCTCCCAAAGAGAGTGAACTACACCTTCTTTGCCACATCAGCATTTAGGGAGCAAATAATTCCATTTTAAAATAGTCTAGGGGTGTAATAGGACTCTCGTAAAGTATGAGTGTGTAGTTGGGAATCTGACAATTGGTTGGGGGGGCTTTTGGCCATTTTCTCTTCTTTTATATGGTGCACTAAGTTTCAAGTGTTAGTGCACTTTTAGTCTCTTTATTAACATCTATTTACTCATTAACGTTTTGATCCTTTACACATCCATTTATGGACTCCGCTGTATACGTTCTGGTACAAAACAAATTAATTCTTAGATTTATCTTAGCAATTGCAGATGAGTCTTCATTTGTACTTGTTTTATTTTTTGGCTCTGCATCTTCATTGTTTGGTGTGCACCATTCAAGATTTGCTAATTCTTTAATTTTCTCCTCTATTTTCCATACACAATTAATAGGCTGACTAAGTCTTTGGGTTTTTCCTTAATAAAAGTTTCTTGTGCTTTGCCTATATGTATCTGGAGCATAACCAAAGAATAAAATAAAAACAAGAAAAAAGGAAAAATATAATACATGTATCAATATCTCAAATTAGCGTCGGATAATGGGTGTGTTCTAATAAAAAATTTTGGAAAAGATTTTGTTTAGGAAAACAAGTTTCATACGTGACACTTCAAATGAAGAAAATGACTTTGTTTAGGAAGTAGGGAAAACAAGTTTCATATGTGACATTTCAATTGATTATATTGTCCTCCCACTCTTTAAGACACCACATCTTCACCTCACTCCCGTAGCTTCCATACCCACTACCCCACACATCTACCCCACCTCCGTCTCTCATAGTATTTGTCTAGATTATACGTAAATGCTTTTAGAATAATCAACCAAATAGAGTCAACAAGAGGAGACTAGTAAAGAAGTAGTCATGTGTTTTTCTAGTCTTTTCATTAACTAGTCAATAGTTATTTTTGAGCTACTTATCAAGTTAGCATATAGAGCAATTTTGCAGTTAATTTAAGGATTAAGGAGCATGAAACATTAATTACCCTTTTCTACTAATAACAACCTACAAATCCTTGGAAATGGAACAATTTTAACTTACCCAATATTGAAATGTGAAAGATGGACAGAAGTAAAAAGAATTAGCGTAACAATGGCAGCAAAACCGTATATCCCCAAATAGGACAAATTCAGATTCAGATTCAAATTCAAAAAAAATAATCAGAAATCTAACCTTATAAGCTGATGAAGTAGAAGTGGCAAAAAGAGATATTGGATTGATTGAGTGGTGTTGTAGAAATACCTCAACAGTTGACTACTTCCTCACACTTCTTTTGTCATTTTATTTTATACAACTCCTTTTAATTCCTTTTATCTAAGTTTTTAATTATGCGGTGGAGTAATAAGTACTTATTCATATTTAATTAGAGGTTTCGGATTTGAGTCTTTTTGGCTATAAAATGATCTTTGTTAGGGAGTGCTTTACCCATAATTTGAGATTTTTCAGCACAAATTCAAATTTAGTGAGGCTCTAATTTGGATATCGAACACTGAGTGGAAAACCAAAAAAAATAAAAATTACCATAGGGCTCATTTGGTAGGTGGATAAAGCTACATCTACATGGTTTTTCATGTATTTAATTTATATAATGTTTTGTTGGTAGAATGTTGTATAAAAGTTATTCATGTATTAACAAAGATGTTTCTCTCTACGATATGTTCCCGCATGAGAAAGAGTTTGTTATTTGAGGTGGGGGGGGGGGGGTATTTGGAGTCTTTTAACCACAATTTGAAGCCTCGATGTCTCTCTTTTATCCATGGTTCAACGCCCCGATGTATTTTTTTTACCACGGTTTGAGGCCTCAACATATCTCTATTCGCCTTGGTTCAAATCCTAACATGTGGTTCATTTGGGTTCTTCGGGGTGCCTTCACCAAAGTTCAAGTCTGGAATCAGCCATTTCAGTTCTTGAAAGCTTTTAATCTAGCTAGTGTTATTCATAGTACTTCTGTGTACTTATCAGACTTATGTGAATCC